TGCATCGCTACTAGGAACAAGTGCCTTACTAGTAGTAACAAGAAGCTAGATGTCTCAGAAAGTCCTTAAGTGTCGTGGCTGTCGTGGCCTCTCTCACCAAAAGCGTCGTCCTAGGACTCATGGCCTTCCTGACATCATTTGACACCAAACAGACTGCCCATGTTTGCAGCTACTAGTTAAGTCTCCTTAAAAATCTAGGAACCAAATCATTAGTGCGAGCTATCCCCCGTCCTAAGTAGTAGCTTACTTGTAACTACTAGCTACCTCACGACCTCCTCCTATCGCAGCCTACCCCCCAAAAAAAAGATAAATGCAAAGAATGGAAAGAAATGGATGGAGCCACAATTTTCAGACAGATCCAAGTGCTTAAGCCATGCCAAGCATCTGTGGCTGCAACTTCTGAGTGGCAATTGGCTGTTTCGCCTGACCGGAACTGGACTATTGTGGACTTATCTACATCTGGGACCCAACTGCGTCTTTCTTTTTGTGCTTAGTGCTGCACCAAAACTTTGGCAGGCACAGGGCTGCGATGCTGGCAACAGACATGTTTTTCGCCGTTTCCGATTGGGGCTTCATAGCTCTCGAAGCACGGAAAAAGAAAAAACATATACGCGTTCAAAGAACTGCCGGCAGCACGTTCGCAGACAGGAGTATTGGCCTCACACACTCCATCTTATTCAAGCCCTGCAAACCACATGCAAGTTCACACCTTGACTGTGAAGGTAACTACAAACATTCAACTGAGCTACAGAGTTTGATGTTCACAGTTAAAGCAACGGAATCGTGAAGTTCCTCGAAGTTGTCCGGAACAAAGCAAACACAAATCCACTGGATAGTACAGTAGATCTAGGTATTTAATGTCATGATATGTCAAGACTATATGTCCACCATACTGCCTCAACTTCTCATCTTGCTCGCCTGTTCTGTGCCTGCGCCACCTGCCGGGAGCGCGCATCCAATGACCTGGGAGCTTGTGATGTTTCGGATCCTAATAGTAATGGCCTCCAACCTAATAGCGGGGAAAGGTTGCAAAGTCGTTCAATGCAGCCCCAGCTTGCAAAGTGGTCCATGATATAGAGCCAATGATGGATGTCTGCTGAACGATATTATATATACATACATGTATATTGGTACAGGTTCCAACCTGTCTATCCATAACATTAATCAGTCTGAAAGTCTTAAATGTAAAGAATACTAAAAAGCTGGGTACAAATGCAGATCCAGCCTTGCAGACTGACAAGAAGTTGGCACAAATATCTGTTGTTGGCATGTGCTTTTGAGATTATCTTGCATGTAAACAGTCAACTTTTGCAGGCCAATGCCAATGCATCTCCACTCAATGCCCAGCTGAGGTTGTCCATATCTGGCCCAACTTTGGTGCCTGTCAATGTCGCACACTTGTGCCGAGTGTCTTAGTGTCTCCGATTCACATCTAAATTGATACAGTCTGAAAAGAATCATAGCAGGCAGCACTGCATCTCCACAAAGAAACGCCTCATTGGAAACGACATGGTTCCAAAAGGCCGCAAAGGGAAATGGTGTCAGATGAAAACACCATACTCTGGGCAAGAACTTCTAAAAGAAAAACAAAAAAGATTATATAGTGCGAGTGGATCTTAATCAGCGAAGTTTGAAGCTATCACTGACGGTCCATAAGCGGCGTAGCGTCGGAACGGAAACCGCACCTTTTCTAGTCGCTTGATCCTTGAGCCAGAGTACATATGGTACATATATATGTACAAGTTGCACTGTACGTGTCGCTGCACTTCCATTCGCACCCCCCACACACGAAAATTTAGGGATGTAAGTGCTACAAAAGAAATTGTATGATTTGCCGCGAGACTCATATGAGGCTCATACTACGAAACATGCTGGACTAAAGCGGACTTTTACATATAAAGTGTGCAACTATGGCTCAGAACCTATGAAAATCGAATTGAACAAGTGAGACAGTCACGAGGCCTCGCTCAGTATCCACTCAAAAGAGCATCGCTTTGATGTAGATCCGAACTGGTGACTTCCACGTAGATGTCACATCGGCGACTGACTTCACACTTCTCAAAAGATGTAGGTTTTGGTTTGGATACACTTACAGAACGGCAAGTCGGAGAGACAGTCGGTGATTGTCTACCTTCCATTATGCTCATGGTATCAAATCGTCAATCCGATGATTTGCAATGATACACTTACAGCGTTTCAGATCAGATAGACATCCGGTGAATGACTTCCTCCCTGGTTTGCATGGTATCCTCATAGTCGTTCAAAGAAATCACCACTGGCGATAACCTCTCCATCCACGATGATCCCAGCTGCCCTGAGCATCCCGCCGATCATCTTCTCCCTTCTTGGACTTTCCCTTGGACTTGCTCTTTCCCTTCCCCTTTTCAGAAGGTTGAGGTACTTCGCGACGTTCTTGCGTTAGCGCCGGCCTCCAAGATGTTCCAGATTGGCCTCCTCCTTTGGAATGTCCTCGGGATGATGAAGAAGTTGTACCTTCTGCTGCATGTGCGTTGGCGGCAAGATCTTCCTGCAAAGCTTGCTCAAACACATCGGTAGCACTGGATGGTGATTTATCATGTGGTCTGGCTTTTGGAGCAGCCTTCGCCTTGTTCTCCTCTGCTGATGAGGGCCCGAAACTCTTAGGTGCTGTTGAAGGTTTTGGCTCCTCACTTGGTGCTGACGACGGCTTGGCCTCGGTTCTGGGTGTAGATGCTGGCTTTGCCTCAGCTCTTGACGAAGATGCTGCTTTCGCTTCAGACTTAGTCGTTGATGTTGACTTAGCTGTTGCCTTGGCTGCCTGCTTCTTCTTGCCCTGAATCTCCTTGGCCCTATCTCCAAAGCCTAGACGATTGGTAAGAGCTTGAACATGCTTATGTTCTACCACGCTCATCCATCTCTCTGTATGTCCAACGTTGGGGTTTCTGGCCATTGACTCTATGACTTCCTGAGCTTGTGGGGGCAACCTGATCTCATGTTGATCAATGATCAACAGAATAGACTTCTCCCACTTGCTCTTCATTCTCGAGTACATGATGTCCAGAGGATCGATCACCTTGTGGTAGGGTGATGTAACGTCGGTTCTAAAGTAAGAATATGTCCGACACCCATAAATCGCATGGATGCACTTCTGTACCAATTCAGTCATTGCGCTGGCTTTCTTCGCTTTCAACTCCTCAAGCTGGGCATCAGTCAAGTCGGTGGAGTGTTCGAAGTTGCCATATTCCTTCTTGAAGGATTGCGGAGTATGACCAAATGATAGGATCACGAGTGCCACCTTGCAAATGAATTGTTCTCCTCTGAATCGGTGCCAGGCCTCCTCAGTCGTAATATTGTTGTCGTTGGCAAAGATTAACATCATGTCATCTGTTGGATCCAATGGTCTCCCATCGTCATCGATTTCAGTGGAATCCCCTGTACCGAATTTGCTTATCACATCCAGTCGCTTCCTTTTCCAATTTGCTTTGAAGTCGGTAAGGCTGGTGCAATAGTAGCTCTTGTACATCAGGGAGATCATGTTCAGCACACATTTGACCACATACCTATCCATCAAACCCGATGCATTCATGGAGACGTCCTGACAGTAGGCTCTCTCTTGATGCGCATAGATTCGAGGTTCCGGTACTCGACAATAGATGGGGAGATCTTCGTTGTCTCTTCCTTCTTCGGGATTGAACTCGGTCGCTCCATGCTGTGCATAGTATCCCGGTTCATCACGATCTGTCGGTCGATTCGCCTCCGGATGTAAGTCGTCGGTGACGTCTTCATCCTCGGGTTCACCATCTTGACGTTTCTTCCCCTCATATTGTTGTGTGCTCCTCTGGATCTCGATGATCACGTTTCGTTCGTCTTCATCTTCTAGATCAGAATCACGACCGTAGTCGATCTCGTCCTCATTGAAAGATGGGGTCTCGACATTGTCACTCTTGAAGTTTTCTGCACCATCAGACGGTTTGGAAGGATCTAGATTGTCCATGTCCTCGTCGTCGTCAGCTGCTTCAGTTTGAGCGATGTCTTCTTCCCAAGCCTTTCTGATCTCGTCCATAGTGGCCTGGTCCAAGATATCTTGATCATCATCTTCAGGCTCCTTCTCTTCCTTCTTTTCCTCTTCATCGTCGCTCACAAGATCAACGGGTGAATCGGAAATGACAGTGTTGCGAATACCACACGAGAGTAGCCTGCCTTGACAAGATAGACACACGGACAAAGATGAAGAAGTCAAATGCATACATGATGGACACAAAATATTGCCATCCACGTTGCGATACCCTTCACATGTTCTGGAGATGATTTCGTCCCAAGTTTCCTCACTGATGGAATCCTCGATCAGCTCTCCATTGTCATCGAATTGTACTTCATCGATAAGGGACACGAGCTTTTGGACGTTGTCATCTGTCGCCGAGGCTGACTTCGTGACTTCGTCGGCTCTCTCGAGGATGGTATGCTTCTGAGCAACCCAAAGTCCATGACGTGCCGCTAGAACAACTTGCTCTCCAGTGCTTCCCAGCAGGAGTCTCCTCCATGCCTGAACGTAGTCGTCCCAATACCAAGCACCTCGTACACATCTCCATGGAACTTCTCTAAAAACAACAGTGTAGGAATTCTCCGAAATTCTTCCCCCAAGCTTCCTCAAAGTCATGATTGGAACATAAAGGCAAACGGGCATTCCCACTCTTGGCCATCTTGATCTCAGAATCTTTGATGATCGATCATCCCACGGCGCAAAGTGGTTGAAGAAAACACTACCTCTATATCCCTCCGTTCCACCAGGGACAATTCCTAGTTTCATGATTGACTCAATATTGGAAAGCGATGTCATGTGAAAGCTTCCTCCAAGCTGCATTGCCACATTCTCTGGGATGAGATGTGAAGTCCACACAGGATATATTGACACATCCTCTTCAAGAACAGTCTCTCTTCCAGAATTGTGAGAGGCAACAGCTCGAATTGCACAAGGAACGATCCAACGTTCATGCTTCAGAAATGACGGTGCATCTGTGCTGTAATACATGAGGTTTGCCCAGTATTGCCTTTCCTCTTCGAGTGAGACATCCTCCCTTGAGATACGAATGGCGGCAATCTGATAGCGTACTCTGTTCTGCAACTTCTTTGCATGCCACATCGCCTTGCATAAATACTGGTATCGCTCTGTCTTGACATCTTGACGATGCCGATCACCTGAGATAGTACTGATATCGACACCATCGTTGAAGACATGGTCATATTCCAGGATCTCATCGATGTTCACCCATCCACCCTCATTGCACTTCGGGGACACATGAGGTTTTCGACCGCGGTGCGATTGAATCCCATTATGCTTTCCCACTCCATGCCTGAGTAGTCTATTGAGTCTATGGCTAACCTCGTTGACCCGCTGACTCTCCTCGCTGAACTTGTCGATGCGAGTTGCTGGGTTCATCTTTGGTGGATCCGTGAAAGTTGCATCTCTCTTCGGTCCATTCCAGTACTCCACATAGAATGTAACTCCATACTGTGGAATTATCTCGATGCTTCCTCTATCGCAAGTCACCTCAATCTGCCGATATCCAACCTTTTGAACTTGTTGTGGGTCAGGAGCAAGGTCCTTCACTTTGGGCATCTTTATTCCGAGTGCTGCAGCCTCCTGAATAAGTGCATCAAGTTCCCACTTTCCATTAGGACCTGATCTATCAACCCTGTGATTTGCGACCCTGTACTCTCCTCCTTCGTCATCGGCAATGTCAAAGAGGTCGACGGGCTCTTTGAATCTGGTGACGAAACTGGCGTTCCCAAAGGCCTTCTTGGTTGCCTCGACCGCTTTCGCGTATTCCTCTTTTGCAGAGTCTGACGAGTGTGGTCTACCTTTGGCTCTCGGAGAGTGAGGTGGTACCTTACCTCCTAGTTCCGGTTCTTCTTCGGGAAGTTCAATATCTTCATCATCCACATCCATGTAGTCCTCGTCTTCGACGTCTTTGGATGACTTTGCTTTCCTCTTTCGGCTTTCAACATCACGTCGGATGATTGCCTTGTCGTCCTCGGTGAAGCACTTGCGCATAGTGTCCTCCATGTGAGAGAATGAGTTCATCAACTCGTCTTTCTTCTCAGTGTTGGGGCAAATAGCCAGGTGATGTTGGTTTGAACCACAACAATAGCACACCTTTTGGCTCACTGCGCGTGCTCTGACCCTTCTGAGGTTGTCATAGGCGGTTTTCCAGTTGGAAGCGGTTGCTGTACCTTGCCCACTGCGCTTGGCAGCTCTTTTCCGTTCTTCAGTATCTGGATTCGATGTCGGGTAGTGCGACCGTGTTTTCGTCGGGGATACTGAACGACCTTCCCCATCCTTGTAGTCTTGCGGATCAAGCTCAGGCGTAGGTGGTTCAGGCTCCTCGACTCCTGGAGTGGTACTCGCAGGGTCGGCTTCGCCATCCTTCATCTCTACATCAGGCTCTTCCGTAGACGTTCTTTTGGGCTCTGGGGCTATGGCCGGTCGTACCATTCTCCT